AATTATCCTCACATAATTCAGTCTCCAATGTATGGAATTATTTTTTTAAATCAGAAATTATTAATTTAATATATAATTATATTGTGTCGATTACAAGCTGTTCAAATTAGTGTTTTTAAGTCAAATTTTAAAACACCAGATTATTATATATAATTAATTTTTTGTAAAACACTATAATAAAGTGTTTTTCTATTAAGTATTTTTTTAGTTATAAAGCTTAAAATTTACAATATTTGGATATAAAATGTACAATATCTTGTAAAATAGCAGATTTCGGTAATCTTACTTTAATACTTTTATGCACAGAATAATGCGACCAATCAATTGTTGTGAAGAAAACGCATAATTGGTTTTAAAAAAAATATTAATTTGCAAAACACTTTTATAAAATCAACTATAAATCAATCAATCACATTAATATCATTTTCCGCATTATACAATTCGTAGAAAAAGTAAGAAGCATTTAGTGAAAATGTAACGAAACGTCACGTCGTTGATTACGAACAACTTTAAGGGCCAATATTTATCAGGCGAAGCAATCTGCACGTTTTTACGAGCGCGTGGTGTGGCTTCTTTTACAGAGGCCCGTTGTGTCTTCCGTCAGAATTATGGTAACTGCCCGCGGCAAAACGACAGACACCCGGTAACGAGGAGCGTTTCGTCGGAATTGGTTGTTTTAACAACTGTGCAGTACTTTGAGATGCGAGAGTTACGTGAGAGACGAATAGAGGGAGAAAGAAAGAGAGAGAGAGAAATAAAGCAAAGAAGGAGAAAGAATGAGTACGGAAGCGAAACGTAGTGTGAAGGATCTCCCAAATAGTGGATGGGCGAGAAAATACGCGGTTCTCGCGAAAATGCGCTTCTGAGGTACGAGCTTCTGCGAGCGTAATAGTCCAATTTGCCGGCAAAGGAAAATACGACGAAGAATCCTGCGAGTAAAAGGAGAGTCTCCTCCCTCTTTCTCCCATCTTTCCCACCCCGTTGACGACAGCGACAGTGCTGCTCGAAAAGGGCTGCTGGAAAATTGAAGATGCGCGAAAACACGATGTTGGAATCTTCAACCAACGTTCGGCGTCACTTTTCCGCGAGAAGAAACGTCCGCAGATTTCTTTGGGCACAGTATCAATTCGACATAGCATCTTGATTGCTTATATATATATATATATATATATATATATATATATATATTAGGGTGGTCGTTATATAGGTTTTTTCAAAATTTTAATGTTGGATGGTCGTAAATCAGCTCTAAATGTAGAAAAAAAAAATCTATAATTTTTTCAGATTTTTATTTTGAGTCCTGAGTCTCCCTGTTGGCATGTAATTTTATTAATAATTTTATTAATACCACAGTTCTGCAGCTGCTTCTGTCATCAATTTTTGTTGTAAATAGTTTAAAATTTTAGTGAAAAAAAGTTGAAACTATTTGAAAATACCGAAAATATAATATAAAATAATATAAAATAGTTAAATAATATAAATAGCGGAATAGCCCATATAATATATTTATGACTATCTTTTATGAAAAATTAAATAATTTTGTTCACTACTTTTGCAGCTGACTTCATCTAAAACTGAAGTAAATTAAGTATTTTTTTGAATTATAAAAAATATAATATAAATAATATTTAAATAACATATAAATGAATAAATAAATGAACTGATATAAGAATATAACATAACACGTGTAAACAGGGAGACTCAAGGCTGAAAATAAAAATCTGAAAAAATTAGAGAATTATTTTTTCTACATTTGGAGCTGATTTATGACCATCCAACATGATGTTCAATTTAACGACCACCCTAATATATATATATATATATATATATATATATATATATATATTAATATATTCTTTAATTCAGCATCCCAAAATACCTTAAATTCGTTTAAGCATTCTTCGCGAATAAACAAAAGTTCATATCTGTTGGCCAATGTAATATAAATCATAAGAAAAATAATTCCATATATTGTACTTGCAAAGAAATCGAATCTAGAACAGTTATATTTGCATTTTAAATTAGGTATTTGCAAAGTTCAAAACAATAAAAAATCGAATCTTTTATAGTACTTGAATTTTAAGATAAAATAATCTATAATGTTTGCTACATATCCACACTACGCGCGCACGCACTTTTCATCCCCACCTATATTCTTCATCCCCATCCACTTGTCTCATCCCCACCCACTCATTTATTTACTCACAATTTCTTATAAGTATGCATAAAAACTTCCAAAATACTTGAGAGAGAGAGAGAGAGAGAGAGAATTTTGGTTGACAATAAAGAAATATATACTAACATAAAATCGATTCTTTTTAGAGACGTTATAATGTATAAATCCGACCGAGCAATCTTCGAAATGTACATCAAGTAATGTCAATGCCAACTTTGAAGACCGTTCTTGCGAACGATTTATTTAAAAGATATTTAATGTTAAAACAATTGAAATTTTATGTGTGTTGTTTTTATATTTGTTTGTGTTATAATTTATAATTTTTTTATTTTTAATATCATTGAATATAATTATTGAAGAAACTTAATCTCAAAAGTTTTGCTAAACATTTTTACATGGTTATCTATATTTTTTGGATTATTATGTATTATATACTTTATTATTTTTACTTTTTTCTTTACTTTTCTTTCTTATTATTCTTACCTTTTTCTTCATTGAAAGCGTATATATTTTATTTTTATTCAACATATAATTTAAATATATATAATTTTAAACATATAATTACAAACATATAATTACTGGTTAAGATTAAAAACATTACAATAAGCTCACAGATGAGTAACTAAACTGGAGATTAAATCGCAAAGAGTTGGATTAAGATATTGGTTAAGAGTTGGATTTTGTAAACAACATCACGAGATCTTACCGGCACGTTAGTTGAACTATAACTGCCAGAGTTTATATTTCGACGATAACACGTCGAGTACTTTCTATACTTTTGAGACGAAACTGTCTGCGATGCTTGTTTTGAATGTACATGAAGTACTATTTTTTAAAAGTAATCATAGAGAGTTTGAAATCATGCAAACAAATTCAAAAACTCGTAAGATACTTAAAACTTCATCACTAATCTGTACTTTAAAAAATCTTTATTTTAATTAATTTCGAATGATATGGAAGAATCTTTTTTAGATTCAATAAAATTTTTATTTATACTTTATTTAATATTCAATATGTAACTCCATTTAAAATCAATTTGTATAGCTTATATAGATATAGATATTGTATTTTATGTCAAAATATTTTGAGAAATGGGTGCTGTGCATACATACACATTGAAACGCTAATCTGTAATAGGAGACTTTTTTCGCTCGAAACTCGAGTACATTTCCACGCCTACTGTCAAATTTTAAATCGCCTTCGAGGGTGCTGTACACTTTAGGATATTTTTACCTCTTGTTGGGCTATATTTCTCAAATAAGTTAAATGGTTGTATGCTTTTATTTTTTCTCAATTGAAAATGATTTCTTTGAAGCGTACAAAAATTCCGACACGAACTTGTTTTAAATAATTATTTAATAATATTATTTAAAACGATAAGTAATAATCTCTGTTTATTTTTATCTTTAAGCAATGCTGATAAATTAATGAACCAATAATTAGCCAATTTAGGAAAAAATCAAACGGTTCTAAAAATTTAATATTAAGAGATTATTTATTATATCCTTTTTTTATATCATAATAAGAGCATGGAAATTATTAAATATAGATACATTTAATTTATAATGTTAACATATAATTTTTTTTAATATTAATAAGAATATAGTAGTAGTATTGGAAGATTAATCGTACAGTCATTCGAAAATTGCTAATGATAATTAATTGACTATGGTTATACGATGTGACAATGAATATCCGTAACAAGTAATGCAGAAACACATCCCCATTAAATACGAAACTCATCCTCGGTAATCATTTTCAACTTGTCGTATCTTGTTTCGAGCGACATCGCTTTGCGGATCAAACAGGCCGCGTTTAATGGTGTGGAAAAATCGAAATCATCGCGCGCATGAATACATAAGCAGTTTTTTTCTCTTCAGTGTGCACATGATGTCATCATATGGTGATAATGGTCATGGCATCTGTAGAACTCATTATCGAAAAATTATTATTAGAATGACGATAGTCGGTATTCATTATACTGATTATACTTTTTTTTCCATTTTTTCCTGCATTTGTATTGATGTCTCATTAACGAAATTAATATTCTTTATACTCTATAAAACAATGCTTTATAAAAAAAAATTTACAGTCCTTATTAAGAACGATATATTATTATGTAACATAATCGTTTATTACTAACGTATAGCTGACTAACGTAAATTCGCTATTTGCATAATTTCACGCTTGTAGAGAAAGTATATGACTCGAGAACATTACTGTTATTATATAGGGAGAGGCACAAGTATAAATATAGGTGTAATCAATTTTTCACAGCAATCGCGCATCCGAAAAGATATAATAAATCCGACGCAACATGAATAAGTTTATGATTTTTTGATAGTCGCTTGTTGCCTTTTGAGAAAGAATAAATTTCCGTTAAAACGAGTAGGAGTTCGTGTAAATATTATTACGCACAAAAATGGTTAGGTTAATAAAAGTTATCTTTTTATGGCTATATCTTGTTAAATTTTAAGCGAGTTACGATTTTTGAAAAAAAAATACTTGTGTTTCCTTTTAATAAAATCATCTGTCTTGTTATTGTAACCTTTTGTATATATTTTATTCGATTTTTTTCAATAAATGATTCGTGCAGTATTATAAAAAGTTATGAGAAATCAAAAATAATAATAATATTTATTATTTATACATATATTTAAAGGCATATGTTTTATTATATAATTACACGAATTATTTCTATCACACATCTGATGATTAATAATTAATGTAATTCGCGTCGTACTTCGAGTTATTGCAGTACAATTATTGTATAATTAGAAATTAAGATTTTAGATACAGTAAACTATTTTTATGAAAATCTTACCTGGACTCGCATTCGGAAATGATCCTTTTGATTGCGAAAATCCTAAAACAGAAAATACATTTTTTTTTAATATATATCATTTTATTAACAATAAAAAGAAAAAATTCATAATTTTTATTTTATAAATAAAATCCGAAATTTTATATATATATATATATATATATATATATATATATATATATATATATGTATGTATGTATGTATGTATGTATATGTATATATATATATATATATATATATATATATATATATATTACATACACACATATAACATAATTAATAATATATGTTAATAACGTTTAAAACTTTTCTCTTTGTATAGTGATATATATATTCATACAAATATCAATTATCAAGACAGGTTACAGTTAATTAACTATAATTAGTGTGTGAAAAAGATAATAATAATATTAGCAATAATTAATTTTTATTACGCTTCTGGTACAGATCTATAATTGTGAAATATCCGGAATTGGTGTTAGTTATATTCAGAAAATTATTCTAGGATATCAATATATCAAATTAATACATTTTTTTGAAAGTTTAAATCTGCTATTAACTGATATATAATATTTTATTTAAAAAATAAAATAAAAAATTAATTAATAGTTCAATTTTACATGCTTTTAATGCATCTTTAAATGAGTGAGCATATATTAACATGAGTTCTAATTAGCAAAAAAGAGAAAGTGAGTGAGGGATGGAAGAGGAATTAACTCGACGATTATTTTGTTTTACTGCTTATTAAGATATAGTCTAAATATCAATACAATTTATGTTTCTATCTGCAGAAATATATATTTTGCTCGAATACGTCACACTAAATTACTCAGTGCGAGAATTAACTATAATTTAATTAATTATAATCTTGTGAAAAAAGATTTCATTTTATTTGAGAGAGGAAAGAAAGCTCGTGGCATAGATCGGGGCCTCATTAGAATGATTATCACATACAAAGGAGTCCCCTTTTTCATTCTTCCGGCTATATCTGTTTTAAGCCGATCGATTCAAATCGCCCAAAATCTCATTAATTTCCTAAAGAGGAATTTTCAAATAATTTTTAATCATTTTTCTTATAACGCACGAATAATTGGACGTAATTAAATAAAGCTACGTTTTTATAAATCGATTATATGTCGCTCGCCTACTCTGTCTAATATTCTCTGAAATAAAAATTATTTTTTCGTTCTCATTTATTTTGCCCTAAGAAAGTATAATATACATTTTTTATTAAAAAAAATTACAATACGTTTTTTGTTTATTTACTATTGTTTAAACATTTTAATGTTGAGCAATTTTTTATATTACATATACATTAGTGATTAAATCGTTTATGTATAATGAAAAGCGCACATTCAATATCACGAAGACAAAAGTTGTGAGGTTAGGAGAAAAATAAGCACTCTATATTGAGACGCTTCACGACGCAGCCATTTTCTAATAAAGTCGTCTGCGGCGTAGTAGCGAAAAACAGGGGTTGAAAAAGATTTGCTTGGCTTCTAAGAAAGTTGGGGTCCAAGTGAGATTCCGTTTCACGAAGGGAAGGAATAAGGTTGGCGATGTGATGGTAGCGGAACTGTTCCCTTCAAATGACTTTAACGAGCTGGCGTCTTAAAATGGGGATGCCAAGCTTGACTCGGAGTTCGCGCGTTTGTTTGATAAATTAACGTAGAAGGGTATGGTATACAGTTGATGGGAAGTTTAACAAGCTTAACTTATTTGTTTGACGAAAAACGGCATATTTCCCTTTAAAGCGCAAATCGCTTTGGAAATAGAAATGTTTGGGATATAATGTGTAAAAAGGGACCTCTCGCTCAATCCTTATGAAAAATGGATTTTGGTGGAATTGACTGATTTTTTCATATATTGTAACTTATGGACAAAAGCTGTAATAGCCTCAATTACATTTTCATTTATTATAGTTTAATTATCAGCTGATTTTATTGGGGTCAGTTTCATCTAAGATTTCATATACGTTTCAAAACCTCGCGCATTAATCTTATAAAATTTATATGGAATTGAATCTTGGTAAAATTAGCTGATTTTTTCGTATGCTGCAGTTCATGATTTATTGAACAAAAAATGTAATAGGTTTAAAGCTACGTAATAGATAGTTGCTGATTTACAACTAGTCAAACAAGAAAAATGTGGATTCTGTAAGTTACATAACTGGCTGTAACTCAGTAACTGTCCATTATTTAACTTTAAAACTATTACAGTTTTTGTTCAGTAGATTATGAGCTACAATATATAAAGAAAACCAGCCAATTTCATCGAAATCTGGTTTCCATAAGGATTATGCGGTATCCTTTTGTGCTTGCTTCTATGCATAATTTGTTCTGCATTTATATTATATTAATTGTAATTGAAGCTGTTTATTTTGAAAGTTCTTTTATGAACGAAATCTTAACCTTAATTTGTAATCGTAGCAACGGTGTCATCGATTTTCTCGAAAATGTACTTACACCACTTTCAAAATAAACGACTTCCCTAAGAGCACACCATATCCGAAAGACATTCTGAGGATATCCTCAGGATGTTCTCTAAACGTCTCGGGATATGTATGCTGTTAGGGAATATATATTGGAAATGTAATTGTTTTTAATGAAGCAATTGATAGCATTGTAAAAAAAATCCTGTTTTGTTTTTTTTTACAATGTCAATTAACTAAAAGGTTATCACGCGATAACGTGGATATCTGAAAAAAATTACCGGAAATCGAGCTTGTATTGAGTCTAAATCGCGTACATTTATGTCGAATTGTTCACTTGAGATCCTAATAGCGTGTGTTATAGGGCCGATACGGCATTCTTCGGTTTTTCCCATTCGTTCTCCTTTCACGGGGATCGTCGTACGCGGTGAAACTTAAACCTCAATCACGCACCCGGGGAAGGTTTCAGATTTTTTGAAAACCCCATAATGCGCATCACCTCGTACCGGTTGACGCAGGAGAGAGAAGGGAGGGAGTGGAGACCCTGGGGCGGAGACCCCCATTGAGAAAAATCCGCTTCCTAGTCTCGTGTTACCCGGCGTATTTTGACAAGATCTTATTGTCGTCACGCGGCTAAGCTCTATTGACCCTATTATGGTCCTATTAGTATTATACTAGGATTTGCGGTTACTCCTTGAAAAGCGTCTTCTCTCCACGGGTCTCCTTTTACGATCGAAGGCGTGCACGCGGACGGCTGCGGAACACGTCGGTCCATTCAGCATCCCACTCGAGCGTGTCTTCTCGATAACGCGACATGCGATTTCCCTCAAAAGAGTCGTCACTCGAAATCTTATGTTTGCCGTTTAGATATCCCTCTCTTGCTATTTATTTGACAATTTTATGATTTTTATCGTTTATGATGGATTTAAATTATTTTTTGTTAGCTATACAATTTTATTTGAAAAAAATGTTATTTCATGGACTCTTTAATCGATAGATAGGTTTGATAGATTTTTAATCAAAAAAAATGTTTCCTGCACACTCAAAGTTTCTAATCTAATCGAAATCCATTTCTGATCGAATTAAAAATCTCTATGAAAATAATTCCTTGCTAAAAGTTTTGAAATCTTATATTAATACAGATAATAATCCTTAAGGTTCGCCAGTAATAATTAAAAAATCTTTTCTCAATGGTAAAAGTCGACCAAACTGGCAATCATTTATTATAAATAATTAGTTAAAATACAACGTTTCGGCTGTCATTGCAACCCTTTTCAAGTAAATCTATAAAAAGTTACATAAAAATAATTATAATTTTAATACATTTTATCGCAACAAATAATTATAAATTTATATACAAAAATATGTTACATACCAAACGTAAATGCATAATAAATTAATACAGTAAATCAAATTCACTGCATACCACCGACAATATTTACCATTGTTTTAATGAACAATGTTGAATTGACAGAAGTAAACAAGAAATAAATAGATGTTAACAGTTAGCAAGAATCTTAGTCACTACGCGTTAAGAAAATCGAGATAAAACTAATGTGTCTTTCGCAATCTAAAACCTCATAACAAAGTCAAATAAATAAATAAATAGATAAAAAAGAAATAATTTAAATAGCGTCAAAAACACGATCATAAATCCCACTAAAATTCTCCGTATCTTTCTGTAAAGTAATGCCTTTACTTTGTTTTTTTATATAAAACATTTCTGCAATTTCTCTTTTTCTTGTTTGTTTTTCTTGATGCAAGATCACCGGAGAATCCCAACGGAACTCATGATCGTTGCAAGTCCGATGCAAACTAACGATTGAATGCAATGTAGTGTCTTTTTTGATATTATTTCTATGTTCTTTGATGCGCGTTTCTAAATGTCTCTTTGTCTGTCCAATATACGTAGAATCACAATTCGCACATTCAATTTTATACACGACATCGGTTCTTTTTAAGTTGTCTATCCTATCTTTTCCTCTTTTTATCAGTGTGTCTAATTTTTTTGGAACAGTATATAATACATCAATTTCATTTTTATTAATGCAACGCGTAATATTCTCGCTCAAATCTCATACAATCATACAAGTTCGCGCATCAAATTTATTTCGGTTGAATAAGCTAAGATTACCGCCAAATTTAATCGCCCTACGTCTTTTGTTAATATTTTTGTTTATAATCGTTAACGGGTAACAATTATTACGAAGAATTCTTCTGTCTATATTAATGTTTTCTTCATGAAACATAGGCTCAGCGAGTACAATAGCCCTATCCACTAGGCTTGTGATCACACTGAGTTTATATCTCATTGGATGATTTGATAGAAAATTTATATATCGACCTGAAAACGTAGGTTTACGGAACCAATTAGTCGTTAATCTGCCACCAATACGTATAACATTCGTGTCTGAAAAACTCAGAGAACAATTGTTCTCTAATTCAGATGTAAATTTAAATCGAGTGTAAAAATCATTGAAAATCCTAAGCATATCCTCTATTTTTCCTTTCGGAATAATTGAAAAAATATCATCGACGTACCTAAAATAACAAGACTTATATTAATATATTAAAAACATCTTAATATATTTTTAAAAAATTAAAATTTTGA